CTCCAATTGTTTGTGAATATATTTTACAAAATGTTTACTTTTCCTCTACATTACTATCCTTTTTGTTAGTGTCAATTACTTTATTTGGTTAATAGCAATTTTTCAAAATAATATTTAATCCCTTAAATCTCTTTTCTCTCTTGTTTCCAGTGGCTCAGAGGTAAGTCTGCAAGCTTATGACACTGAAATTCGGGTTTCGATACCCTTCGTGGAAAGAGTACAACACAACTCATCATGTTTCTTTGGCTTAACAACAAACAAACCAAATCCTTTTTTCTCTCATGTTTCGTTCTGAAAGTAAACTATACATCCACTGGGCCAAACAAAGTAGTCTTTGTGCGAAATTCAAAACAAACTTTATATATAGTTGCATTAAATAAAGTTACGTCTACGTGAGCCTGTTTGTCTGACGCGTAATGGTTTGTCAAATAGACCAAGATTTATCGATCTAACACATAATGCCTGTAAGAAAGCGTAGTTTAAATGGCCAGCGTGAAAATTATAGAATAAGGAAAATTCAAGCGAAGGGCCTGAAAACTACTGAAAGTGTTTTGCGGGCCACGGCTAGTAAATTGTATATTATTCTTAAATGTTATTTAAAAAAATCATAAATTATTTCACATTGTCAAGATTATTCTAAATTAAAAAACAAATTAAATTATCAACATATTCAAAATCAAAGTAATCTGAACGGGTATTTAAAATTGGATTTCAAAGTATCTTATTAGTAGGGTGGCATAAATTAGTGCTGCTTTAGTCTCACAGCTGTACCTGACGATTGATGATTAATGTCACTGTTATAAGAAGAAGACAAAACAATTATCAATAACCAATTCTAAAATACACGTTTTTTTTTTTTGTTAAGTCTAGGTAACATAAAGTTTTTACAATGGTCTGAACATATTCTATAGCCTTTAAATCATATTAGTGATCAACGCTGTGGTATAAAGATACAACATTCAGGGTCAGTAACAATAACATTTAGGTTATTTTTCTAGAAATTATTTTTATAAATTAAGAGAGAGGTGAGATATTATTATTAAGAAAAGCAATAAGCATAGTTAATTAGTTAAAATGGAAAAAGAACATTACAATAGAATGACCTTAAGAATTATTAAATTAAATAACTTATAAGAATAAATGAGGATACACGTCAGTTATTGAAGCGTCTAAAAGAAGATCTATCAGAATATACAAATTACTTTAATAAATATTGTCACCAACAACGAAATAAAACATATTTTGAATTAAAAAAATATGATACTTCTATGTGCTACTGAAAATATGTACTTCTAACGAATTAAGTAGAACTGTGAAACAGAAACTCTAAGAACATTTATACGTAAATAACTTTCTGGGCATTACAGAAAAACCTTCAGTTAGTGGAACACAGAAATTTTCAGAAACCTTAATGTTAGAATCTGACTTACCATAGGCGAAATATGGAACATTATTCGCGCGTCACTTAGTGATGTAATCATTATTTAGTCATACAACATGATGGTTGCATAGCTAAGAATATATATCATATTTTGATACATATCCTAAAAAGTACATGTGTGTTTTTGAGGTAATAATTTAAAACTGGTTCCACGTTTTTGTAAAAGCGAGAAAAGGTATTATTGTTTCTTTTTTCACCCACATATGTACAATAAACTTAGTGTTTTAAATCATAATAATCCAATGAACGACGTTTTTTATATTCAGTATTTTTATATTCAACATAATTTAAGAAACGAAAAGTATATCTAAATGGAGTAAAATTGTTAAAATTTAATTTATTTCAAAGCAATCGCTTATTTAAATATCATGTTTAATGGTCGTAAACAACCAGACGTGAAAGCACTTAAATTTAAAACTGAAACAAACAAAATAGTGTCTCACTAAATATTTATTATAATAGGAAAATAGTTTATACTTTACCCAGAAGATGGCAATAAATGCATAACGACTGCACAAAATTATTGGTTAAATATCTCTGTAAAGTTTTAGTTATTTATGGTATTAGCAAGATTAATATATAACACAGAGTTTCTTAACACTAATAACTACATTAGCCAAATGTAATAAGCATAATACATAAAACATTATGTCTAAGAATTTTGCTTCGGCGCTTGGTAAAATCGCTAAAGAGGCTCAACCTCGTCAGATATTCTTTAGCCGAAAACATCGCTAGCTGCGAGGTTATCGAACTAATGACCTCGGACAAAGTGGTCAATATTGAGTTAGACTATTAGTTATTAATTGTAATTAAAATTGTAGAATTTTAGTAGCGCTTCTAGTAGAAAGTATTGCATAATTGTAAACTAATAACTTTGTTTTTTAATAAGAGATGGCGCGACATACAGCTATTAACATTTGGATGTGAAATACTTCTATCCAGTAAAAAGTGTTAGCAAACAGTGGACCCTGGTTATCTGAATTTATTACTTTTATAGTCAATAAAATATGACAAAAGCAAACTCAACAGTGATAAAACTAAATGTACAACTTGTATAATCATGTTAAGTATTTAATAATGGCTCGTGCACTAAAAGTCAATACAGCAGCTTTAAAGGTGATATTTGGATCTTAGAAAAACAATTAAATACCTACGTTAATGGAAAGGAGTAATTGACAAAATACTTAACATACATATGATATTTTTACTTATTACCACCATTATGAAGGTCTGCATCTTACACCGTATGTATTGTGTTTCGGAACAAGTTTTATTAAAAGAATTAATAAAATTATAACAACTTCAATAAAGAAAACAATTGACTATTTTATACAACAAGTTAATTGAGATCTACTTGTTCATTATACAGAAACTATCACATATAAAGTATTGGATATATTTATAGAAACGATGAAGAAAAAAAGGGTATAAAAGACAAATTTTAAAGGAATGCCACCCTTTTATTGTATGAAAATTATCTGCGCCAAAGTACGGTTATGTGTGGATAGTTAATACTGTGATTGGTCACCATCCAATAGATCATAAAGTATCTCACCAGTATAAAGCTTATAGAAGAGCAAACAGTTATACTATGCACATTTGTAGCATTGTGAATCCAGTCATGACTCCCAGGATTGAAATACCGCATGACAGAGGTGTAGAAATTAAAGTTATAGCTAGTCAAGGACACTCCATGCGAATAACTAACAAGACTACGTGTTTCAATTGGAGTTATATGCAAGATTTCGAAGATGATACGTGAAACTGGCGTTGCTAATAACAGAAATGGTCGAGGTAGAAAATCGAAATTTTCTAACACTATTTTAAGTATCTCAGGATATGCTCTTTATGGGGTATACAACAATCAGTTAAATATCTTGCTAACGACCTTGCTGTATGTTACATGAATGTTGTGAATGTTACATCAAGAATAGCAAGATTTGTGTTAATACGAAATGGTCTCATAGCTGCTAGAAAACCAGTACTAAGACGAATAAATAAATAAACAAAAAGGTTGAAATGGGCATCGGACCACAAAAATAGAATGGGTAAAACTGGAGACATGTACTCTTTAGAGATATATATATTCAAGTTCAAACTATGATGGTTAAATCCCACTGTTCGATTAGAGTAGCCCAAAAGTTGGTGGTGGGCGCTTTTGATAAGTTGTCTTCTCTCTTATCTATCAGCTCAAAATTACGAATGGCTTGGGAATATATCCGTTTTATATCTTTGCGCAAATGGATGTTGAAAAATAGCCATACTGTTGAAAGCTATACTTTTAATATTTTAATTCAGATGTTTATTTGTTAGGGAAAGCTTATCAGTACACAATAATGATGACATTATGACCTAAACATTTTGTGTAGTAAGTAGAAAATGAGTAACAATAAGAATATCAGAGTAGGTGAATTAATAAAAGTCAGTGAAGCATATAATTAAAAAAGAATCAGTGAGATATTAAGTTCAGTGCTAGTGGTGAGCTAAACAATGAGGTTTAGTGCGTCTGTGATTGAACTTCTTCAAGTAAGTTTTGGATTTGTGAGTTAGACGTATGTTAGTTTTCGGACGTCTAGTTATTTGAAGCGTTGTATTTGAAGTTAGGCATACATGTAAACGTAACCTGTAATAAACGTTATTCACGTTATTGAAGAAATAAATTTATTTGTTATAGTTACTTGGATTGAATTTCGCATTATTGTTTACAAAAGTAATCCAAAATTGTCTGTCCAACTACATATGGCTTTACAGCGAAAAGAAATGTTTGTTCCTTTATAATAATTTTCAAATAAATTGATTATGTATACTTATTATTGGTCATCTACTACTTCTTTCCCTTTCAAAATAATATCTGCTGTAAAAAAAAGTTTTAAGATTGATAAAAAAAAGTTAACGAAATTTCTTGTCAAAAAGAATTTGACATAGATCCTTGGAAATTTTTCTTTTTTAATGTATCAACACATTGGATGATAACCTTAATAAATACTATTTAAGTAACAAAAACTAACATTTATTATTTAAATTAATAACATATTGTATTTTTCAACCTATATATTGTTTTTAATAGAAACTAGCACAAAATGTGTTGTTTTATTGTTAAGCACAAAGCTATGTGAAATGCTATCTGTGCTCTGCCCATCATAGGTATTGAAATCAGATTTTTGGAGTAGTAAGCCCTCAAATTTGCCGTTGAGCCACCGAGAGGCTACAGATATGCAAAACGATTTACAAAAATGAATACTTAACACTCACACATACACGTATGTGTGTATTAAAAACTAGAATATTGAGAAAATTTTCTAATAGTTTTAAAAAGAAAATCATAGGATTGGAATAAGTAAAAAAAAGAAAAGAAACGTTTAAAATGTACAAAATTATAATTTAGAAAAAAGTATACCTTTTTTTTTATTCGAAATGATTTAAATAAATTTGAGATTTTTATTATAACATATCACTAGTACATTTTTAATGAGAAGTATTATAATAAGATGTTAATAATATAAATACCTATTAATACAATTTTATATATTTTCTTCGAATATAATCTCGTTTTTCATAGTTATGCAGCGTGCAGTTTAAGTAGTCTGAGTCCAGAGTATGCACGTCCTCTTCTAACCTGCACGTTCGAAAATGGCTGTCGGGAAAAATAAAGGACTCGTTAAAGGAGGCAAGAAAGGCGCTAAAAAGAAAGTGTAAGTTAGAAATAATATTATCTGCACAAATACAACTCTTTCAAATTTTAATTGAATTCGGCTGTTAAGTGATATTTCTATAGATGATTGAGATTATTGTCGATTTTTAGCACGTATCACTGTCGCATGTATATTCAGTTTTCAGTTAAGAATTTGTAACTTATTAACATTATTTTCGAATTATCATGGATAATGTATACAGGTATAAGTAACAATTTAAAAAAGTAAAGGAATTTTTGGATAACTCTTATTAAAGTGTGCAGCTTTTGCAAAATAATGTCCTAGCATCATTATATGTTAATAACTTGGGTAAGATAGAACTGTAACATAATGCACTAAACAGAACAAGACACGTTGATACACCACAACGCAAGTACTCTTTCAAAATTCAAGTCTTAGTAAGAAAAATATACATAACTATAAAATTTGTAAATGGTGATGAATCTGCGCCACAATTCGAAGTTTTTATTTTGTTTCTTCGTGCATTCATTCATATAATGGCAATGTCGTTAGCTCAAGAAGTTGAAGAAATAATTGGACACTGGTTTCTGCTCACCATTCAATATGATTAAGTTTACTTTTTGTTAGTTCCTTAAGTTATAGCACTGGCATGTTTGATACGATTTTGCAATAAAAATATTTCAGAATTTTGAAAGTGTATATTTCAAGCATATAAATTGGTTTTTGTAATAACATTACCAAAGTCTGAATATAAATTACAATGATTCTAACTGTAACTTGTAAGGAATGTGAAGTGGTTCAAGTCTACACTTCTGTAGGATTGCACTAACAAATCTTTCAATGTCCATATTACAAAAAATACCCAACTGATTTCAATTTAAATTTTATATAGTGAAAATAACAGAAAAAAATACTATTTGATTCCACAGTTTAAAAACAGTAGATTTATACTGCAATTTCAGTTATTTATTTAAAAAGTAACAAAAGCACTTAACTGTACCAGTAAATTGGCCTTTTGGAAATTGAAAATATACAAATAAAATTACTTTACCTGGTAATCTGAGACATTGCACAAAACCTGTGACAAGGCAAGATAAAATGGAATCTCAATAAAACACTTTAATTTTGAAAACCTATACGAGTGAGTGTATATGATATTTATAAATGAAATGAAAACTGTCAACAATCAAATGTTAAAACAATTATGATGTTACATATTTAAATATAAAAGTAAAGGGGAGACTTTGTATTCTTGTTAATTTTAAAACATTTAGATTTTTCATTGTAAACTTGTTTTATTGTTCAATAATTTTTCTTTTTAGAACAGATTTATTTTGCCGATTTACATAGTTTATACACATATACTGTTACTTAATGAATTAATTTAAAGTTTAATATTCAAATCTAAAAATGCTTAACATTACAATATCTTTAAAAAGTATTAAATGTAAAACATATATTATAAAATAAATTACATTAAAATGTAAATTGAATTTCAAATTAAAATCAAAATAAACACAAATAAGATAAAATAACATACAGTGAAATATAACTTATTAAAAGTAAATATAAATTAATAAATATTTCAGAAACATGGTTAATTTTATAATGAAAAAATTAGACTTAAAGTAATTATCTTCAAATATAGTTAAACATGTCTTTCTTAATTGACCTTGATCAATATCTCATCAACAAAAATTAAAACCATACTTCAGAAAGACAGGATATTTTTTTCTTTTGGGTGTTGTTTAGCTAAAAGCAGTAATAAAATCAGGTTCACTTTAAATTTTTTTTTGACATTCTTTTTAATTTGTACACCATGGCTCTAAGTCAGAAATGTATAAAAATGAATTTCATGTTTTACAACATTTTTTAGAACTATTGGTTTACAATCCTTTGCTGACTCTCAGTATTTAAAACAAAATTATTTAGAGAAGTTTTAAGCTTATTGGTAAAATGTTTTTCACAGTACAATCTCAAAAGGTGTGTACTTGAAAGAAAAGCTATTTTGAAATTTGAACTTTATGACGAAGACAATTAGTGCCTGATATTAGCCTCAAGTTTAGATTTCTTATGTGATGTTTATGTAAATTCATTCTTATTCTGAGATTTGTCCCTCAGTGGCTCAGCAGTACATATAAAAACTTATAACAAATGCTGAAAAATCGTGTTTTGATACCAAAGATGGGTACAGCCTAGATAGCCCATTGAGTACCTTTATGGCTATAAACAAACAGTAAAATTACGAGATTTTCAGTTTTTCCAAGATCTGTTTCTCCATTTATACATGGTATAAATTATGTTGCTATGTTCTATTAAAATTTTACCAACTACCTCCTCCAATTGTTTGTGAATATATTTTACAAAATGTTTTCTTTTCCTCTACATTACTATCCTTTTTGTTAGTGTCAAGTACTTTATTTGGTTAATAGCAATTTTTTAAAATAATATTTAATCCCTTAAATCTTTTTTCTCTCTTGTTTCCAGTGGCTTTTGTAATCAAATATATTCATACATTTTGCTGTATTTATTTCCCCACAAAAAGGCCTGACATTGAAAATGAATCCAGCATACTATAGTTTTAAATTCATAATAACTTTTTCCATGGCCAGCTTCTGTATAGATATATTTCTTAGAAAAATCTGTTCAGTAACTTGTTTGATATGATTGTCCTGTAAAAGTCATGATAATGTTGCACAGCATTTGAGCATAAAATATAGTTTGCTAATAAAATGTGAACAGGATATTTTAGTTTTTATTAACCAGTATACAATGAATTAAAAGTACTCATGCGAAGTATTTTTTTTATTATATCAAATAAAAAAAAAACTCAAATTAAATTTGTTGGTGGGTATTTTAATATTGATGTAATGCCAGACAGGTCTTGTACTTTATATCAGATTTAAGAAAAATCACAGATCAAAATAAGTAAAAATGTCTATAAAATTAACTGTAATTACAGAGTTTCTAATGCTAGCTCAATAGAGCTGAGCAATTAATGTTTGCTAATTCATTAGATATCAGGTTCATTAATTGAATATATTCAACTAATTGTTTATTCTGGATAATTGGAATAATAGAAAGTATTAGTAATCAGAAACTAATCAATTAAGCTCAACAACCTTGAATTAGTCAAGAATAATAAATCATACTGACAATATTTCAATTAGTTCATTGTTTTTGTGGCATTAATCAATTTGAACATAATTTTAATAAATTATTTTATGTGTCACTGATGTAATAGATGCTCTTAGGTTATCAAATAAATAACTGTAGTCTTGAAACTTAATATTAAAAAGCTAGTGTGTGTGTGTGCAGAGAATGGTGTTTTCACTTGAAACCTGGATATCCATCCATCATGACTGTTGCCTGGTTTTAAATTTACTACCCGTTTCTTTAAAAAAAGTTATGCAAAGTTTAAGGCAAAGTAATGTAAACAGAGTTGCAAAGTTTATTAAACAAAATTGTGAAATGAAATGTTAACATTTGTCAACCTGTGTTACTGGGTTCATAAATCATCTATGTATTCAGTCATTTTTCTCCTTGTTTTTAATATTCCTTGGTGCATTTTGTTCTCGCTGTATCATTCCTTAAATACTAATGCTAAAGGGGATTGATTTTCGCTGAACACTTTGACCATTAATCTCTAGGCTTTTGACCTGATAGTACCACAGAAATCAACATCCAAATTCTTTGTTGCTTTCTTCTTTAACTTTGAATTACGCATGTGACTTTTTTTTAGCAATCTTAAGTCTCTTGTCGCATATCAAATTGCTTCTAAACAGAAAAGCCAAGTATGGAACTATTTTGAATTGATCCAGGACATGAGTTTCAGTAAAAGCATGGCAAAATGCTCCAGCTGTTCAATGTTCCTTATATTTTCTTATGGCAGCATATCGTCTTTGTTAAAACATTTAACTTCTAAATTGAAAAAATTCAGTTTGACCAATGTGGACCTTCAGGTTGAAAACAAACTAATGTAGGAGATTTTTTTTCAAGCCCACAGAAAATTGACCATGTTCAGTGCAATGTAAAGGGTAAGTTACAGATTTGTTGTATGGAGTTATTTATCAGGACATGTGGCCCTTATCATTGGTCAGTAGTCACTCTGTTTAAACTTTGTGGAACCAAACTATCATGTTCCAAGCAATGCAAAAATATTGATTGCTTGTATGACATACCTTATACTTTGATATTAATTTCTTGACCACTAAATTGGTTCTCATTACTAATTGGTGAAAAGTTAAAAAATAGAGATATGTTTGTTTGAATTTGTTTCAGTACCTCATGCAGGATAGTAAGAATACATACCATAGCCTATACTTGCAGGCCTATGATATAGTATGCGCACAATGGGTGCAAAAAATTTCAGGGTTAACATTGTTTTTATCTTTCATTTATAGTTATATCATTTACTTTTCTATCCAAGCATTCATAACTTTTTATTATCTGCAGTTTTAGATATGCTTTTGTTAGAAAAATAAAGACATTACACATGAAGTAAACTGTGTGGCATCATGGTTCATATTGTCTTGTCTTCTGCATGTTAGATAGTGGTCAGAATGTAAGTGTAAATGAATTATAAGTAACTGAGCTATTGAAACTTCAATGAAACAAGATGATCAGGATTTAAAACTTAACACCTAATTTGTGAGGGAAAAACGTTTGTTTTTTACTTGGTTTGAGTGATTATTGAAAATTGATTTATTGTGTTATTTTATTAGAAATTGACATATATGTCCATCACAGATCGGTATAAGATTAAGATACAAAGAATACATGAAAATTTTTGATGTACCTTTTGACCATGGAGATATTGTCCATCACTTTTTCAGGGAAATATCCCAGACAAGAAGGTGCTAGATAGAAAAGTAATTATAAATTAAAATATATTTGAATGAAAAAAGACATTACATGTTTTGAGTTTAATTGTTTAATGCCAAAATGTGTGATAGCTTTAGTAGCTATTAGGGTCTGATAAACTACTAATAAATTAAATATTCATTAGACCTCCATACTGGGAAGTTTATGAATTGTCTTATGTGCAGTAATGCATTTGATTGGTTAATCAATGTACTACCAGTTTCCCAAAAGCTCTATGAAATGGTTAGGTAGAGCATCCTTGTATATCTTGGCCAATCTTCACAGGGTGACAAACCAGTTGTTTTATTACTCGAGCAACAATATGGTTTTACCATTTTAACCTTCCAAGTTTGTTACAATATTACTGGTCCTAGTTTCTTTATGTGCTCTATTATAAGCTTCTCCATCCCATCTTGGACTTTTCTGATATTTTTTTTATATTACTTTGCAGTTCTGTCTGTACAGTTGGTCAAATATGTTTGTTGCTACTCCTCTTCATTAGTAAGCAGTTGGGTCATGCATCTCTTTTGTCTAAAAAACTTATCTGCTCCTTAAGTGCTCGAGCATCTGCTCAGCTGAAAGTCTTTGAATATATAAACAGATAAAAGCCAATGACTAAACTTTTTTCCATGTTATAAAATAACCTATAATTAGAATAGTATAAAAACATTTGTTCATATTGTTAACCACTTCCTCTTAGAAGTTCAGTGTTGGACAATTATCAATGACCAGCCATTATTGAGTGTGTGTTTCTTTGTAATTAAGTATTTATTAAACTGTGTTTTTAGATTATATAAAGATTGAAATACTTTTAAATTTATACCAAACTTTTTTCATTCCAGGGTGGATCCATTCACTCGCAAGGATTGGTATGATGTCAAAGCACCTGCTATGTTTAGTGTACGTAACATTGGCAAAACACTGGTCAACAGAACTCAAGGAACACGTAAGTAAAGCATATAGAAGGGTTGGGAAAATGAAAAGATGATATATTACAAACTTTGTTGCATTTATGGTTTTTTTGGGGGGGGGTACTTTCAATACAGACTTATAAATTTGGAAAAATTGGTATCACTGGGGTACTTTTGAATTATATAAAACAAAATGCTAATATTTCTTCTCATTCAATGTTTTATATGTGTATGTGTGTATGACATCTGTGTTGGCTAATATACAAATAATATAATTCACTTATAATTTGTATTATTAGGTAACCCTAAAGGACCTGCAGAGCTCAGTGTGATACTAAATTAATATCTTTAATTGCATTCTATAAATGGGACAGATAATAACTTTGAAATAATTGTAAAATCACCCAAATAATTCTCATACACACACACTCACTGTTTAAATCCACTTATACTTACATAATTCCGTAAGTGGCACATGCAGCTAAAAACATGTCTACATAAGATAATTCAGGCTTTAACCTTAACTTTTGAAGTTATTTTTTTGCCCATTAACAGTTTTGAAACTGTTGCTAGGAACAGCATTATTCTTATCTAAACTGTGTTGTAATTATTTCATGTTTTAAATGTTAATAACTGTAGGCTGTATATAACATTTTTATTTTATCTATTTCACAAAAGTTAAATGATTCTGATTTGGATAAAAACTTGTGTATCTAGGCCACGAGCATCTGGATCAACAGTCACTATTTCTTTGTTGCTGATGCCCACACTATACAATAAAAATGTATTTTACTATTAAAAGAGTTTAAATGCCAAACGTTGACAAAGCATTAGAAGCCAGTAGGTCTAACATTTGTGTCAACCATAGGCAAATTAAACAAAAATGTGAAGAAAAAAACCTATGAAATTTACAGAATATCTAATATCCATTTATTATTAGCTCCAACGAGCTACCCTTGGCCATTGTGTTTCTGATCATGCTACCAGCAAAATTACACTGCAGATGCTGGGTGGTACACGTCTAGTCAGACTGGTCCTTAGGCAAATTGCCTACTTGATCAATTAAATCTATCCCTATTCCCTGATGGTTTGTTTGGGTATGCCATGCAGCTCAAATTGGGATTGCCAATCCTTAAAGTGAAACAATTGCTAATCCCAACCTTCTGTTCTCCGAATTTTTCAATATAAGTGTCTGAATTGCATGTATCAGTGGTGTACTGACACTCAGCTGTAAAAATATTCAAATCTGCAATGTGTACCAATAATTTATCTGTTTGTTTTGTTAACAAAACTACAATAGTAGCCAACAACTTAATAGTTTACTAGGATTATTTTGAAATCGAAAATAATTTGAATCATAGATTATATACATTTGTTTTAGTGGGAGCTGAAGTGAGATGTGTGTGGTTTTTTTTCATTAACTAACTTACTAAAATCTAGATTTGGTGCAGTTTGTATGCTTTAGGTATTTTTTACATTTTGGTCAGTCAAAATGACAGATCCATCTAATATCTGTCAAGTTTGAAGGAAGTGTACATTGACAAGGAATTGAATATATTTATAGTGCTTGATAATACAAATATGGTCTTGTGAAATGTTGTTAGTGAAAGCAACTTCTCAACAGATATTGAAATTATGAATATGCATTTTAAATTAAGTATCTTCTACCCAAATATCTAGATTTACGTGAAGCTTATTTATTCGTGTCCTGTAAGTCTTTAAATACTCTTGTAGAGAATGACATTTTAAACCTATTGTGACGGGTTATGTCATCGTGTTTGTTGACTTGCATTCAGAATTTTAAAGAACTACTATTTTATGAATTTATGCCAATAAGTTTGGTTTCAAATTGTAGATTATAATTTAACTTTTAACATTATATGTTAGTTAATTTCTTAATTTAAAAGTAAATATTAAAAAAACACAGCTAAATATCAATTTTTGTGTGTCCTGTGGTATGTTGAATATGGCACTTTACTCAATTTGGAAATTTAAAAGTAAATAAAAAACAGTTAAATATCAATTTTTGTGTGTCACGTGGTATGTTAAATGCAGCACTGGTTCAAATTAGATGTTTGTAATGTCAAAATACAAAATCTACAGTTTTGTACAAATTAGGAACTCAAACTACCAATATTTATAAGATAGAATATAAAATAAGAACCTCTTATTTTTCTATTTGCTAACATATCGCTCATGTACTGAATCAATCACTGTGACCCCTGCCCACCTCTTTCCATTTTTGGAAATGGTCCCTTATACACACTTACTTCTATAAAATGATAAAATCTTCTTTTTCAAGAACCAACATAAAAATAGTCCTATGACTGTGCAAGTTTTTTGGTAGGTTTGCCCAGGTTTGAAAAAAAATATTTTTTAGCCATTTTTTTTCTGTAGGCTTGTGAAACAATATTATGAAGAACAAATGAATGAATTTTGTCTAACAATAGGAAAATCAACTTTTTTCCTATTATCAATATTCTAGCAGTGTTATCCATTGAGATAGAAAGTCTTGTGTTGTTTCAAAAACAAGTTTGCTTTTTATTTTAAGATGATTTTTGCCCATTTGTTCTATTAGAATTTTTGTAAAATTTCTGGGTGAACTCTGTTATCGTGGTTTATGATACAGTCAATTGGTTTTATCAAAATTTGGTAACCAAAGAGCAACATCTGAGTTGATTGCAAGAGTTTAAATTTAGATTATCAGTAATTTCTTTGAGGTGAAACTTGAATTGTACTGTAAGAAAATTGTATCATTATAGTCACTGAGAAAAAGACTGATTTTTTAGTGCTTTATATTATCCATTTATACCAGGAATTCATAAATATATGTAACTGAAATATAAATCTACAAAGCTGGTAACTTCTTGCTAAAACAGTTTGGCATGCTTTGGCAATTCCCGGACACCAGGTTGCCATGGCGACTAAAAAATTTCATCAAGGTGCCTAGTATTTTCTCCCATTTTATTCATGTGTAGGGCTGTGCTAAATACAACTAGAATCTAGAACAGTTCTGGACTCTTGGAAGTCCAGAATTATTTTTGCTTTCTTTGAATCCTAAATCATACTTTGTTTCTAGTATTTTAATGGCAGATTCAGCACTTCATGTTTTTTCATTTATGGTTGCACAACATGTCACTAACTTTGTCATTTTATTTTTCTTTCTCAATTCAACCAATCAGTGCTTGTGTTTAGACTCGGGAAGGACCAGAGGCAGTTTGTTCAAACAATACTATCAAGTGGTTGTTTATATCATGTGATTGTTAGTATGCACTTGCTGTGAAACTAAGTAAATATACATAGCCCCTATTTACAGTAGACAAAGTTAGGTTAGGCACACCTGGTTCCTGAGTTTTGGGACTGGCTTCTGGATCAGAAAATATTTATCGAGACCTGCACTAGCGTATTTGTGACTAATTAGACATTTGTTGCTAGTAAAACACTACATGGCACTGTATTTGTTTCTTAAGACTTGTCAGCTATAAATTTATCTATAAAACCATTAAAATGGCTTAAATCTAAATGTGTAAATATACATATATCCAAGGATGTTTTGCATTGATATAATAATATGATTTTTGTTTTGAGACAACAGACTGAGCAGTATAACAATGTTGAACTGCAGGGAAAGAAAATTTTTTTATGATTGGCTGTTAAATTACTTCTTTTGCTACTAAAAATGTAACAACTCAAGTGTGAGTATATCCACTTCCCAAAAATATTAGTTTAGGTTTTACTCTTGGTTGTTTAAAAGAAGTACTATGTTAACTTTCTTCTCTCTCTCTCAGGAATTGCCTCCGAAGGTTTGAAAGGTCGAGTGTTTGAAGTCTCATTAGCAGACCTACAAAATGATGAAATTGCTTTTAGAAAATTCCGACTTATTGCTGAAGAAGTTCAAGGACGTAATGTTTTAACGAACTTTCATGGAATGAACCTAACTACTGATAAACTTCGCTCCATGGTGAAGAAGTGGCAGGTAAATAGCACTTTATCATTATTTTGTTGTTGTGAATGTTTCAAGTCCACTCTTATTGTTATTCAACCCTTTGGAACTGTGTCACGGGTGAAAGGCTATGTCGTTTCATTTGTTGACTCACATTCAAAATTTTATTGAACTACTATTTCATGAATTTATGTCAATAAGTTT